ATAAAGAGTAAAGTGCAATTGTTTTTAGAGAGAATTTGGTACAAGTGATCGTCGGAAAGAGTTAGTGATTTGCATCCTTCTCGATTAAATTTTACAACTGCTTCATTTAAATTTCCTAAAAGATACGCTGTATTATTAGTAAGCCATACTGCATACTTAGAAATATTAATATTATAAGAATTACATACTTCAATAACAATTTTTGAAACTGTCTCTGCATTGTATTTGTTAATATCTTTAAGATCAATCATTGTAATACTTGGTAAATTTTTTTTTTTAATATCACCATAAGTAGATTCATCTACTAATATTCTAAATGAATTAGCTTGTTTTATTTGTTGAACTGTATTTGAAATCACGAAATTTGAAGCATTTTTATACTAAATTGAAATTGTTTTATAATGTGGTAAAGTAAGTGAATTTTCTCCAGTTAAAAATTCATAAATTAATTGAGTACATTTTGCTGTTATACTAAAAGACATTTGTTCTATTTGTGTTATTCGAGTAGTTAACCATATAATATTTGGAGAAAAATTTTAATCATTCTTTTTAAATAAGTTTTTAACTTGAGATTTAAATTGAGTAAAAGAAATTTGTTGAGATCTTCTAACAAGAGAATGAATTTTTGATATTTGACAATTAGATTTTTTTAAAATATTGAAATTTTGTTCCTAAAGATTATGTTTTTTTAATAAGCTTAATATTTTTTTGATTTAATTTTTTTGATTTAACTTTCAATTGTTTTGTTTCATCTTTAAGAGCTTGAATAGATAAATTAGGCTGATATAAACTTTCTTTAATAAAATCTATAGCTTTATTTTGTAAATGTACAAAAATTATAGTATCTTTATTTTTTTCTTTAAGATAATGCATAGTATTTAATAGCTTAATAGCTTTAGATTTTTCATGATTAAACATTTTATCTATCATATTAACAAGTTTTGTTGTGTAGTAATTGGACGTTGAGACTTATAAGAAATATTAAAGGGAGTTGTATAAATTTCAGAAAGTAAAATAGGGTCAATTTCTTCAATTAAATTAATAATTTTTTGCCATTGCTTTTTATTATCTTTCTGATTTTTTGATATATTTTTAATATGTTTTTTTGTTTTGATAATGGAGATATTGTTAGTTAAGATTAAAAATAAAATTTTTATTAAAAATTAAATATTTATTTATATTTTACAGTTTGATTAGTAATTGTTTTCTATTATTCCTCTAATATTAAACTTTTCTAATATTTAATTTTCCGAAATTTTTTTACCAATAGTTAATTCCCAATGCTAATAATATAATTCTGATAATATTGTTTAATAAAGTAACTGTTAATAAAAAAATATCAGAAAGTAAATATTAAAAAATTTAATATCAGAAAAATAATAATTAATTTTAAACTACGTTAATTATGATTTATATTATTAAAAATAAGGATTAATATTATATAATTAAACAATTATTTATTAAAATTATATATTTAAAAATATCTAAATTATTATTCTTTAAATCTAAAAAAATAAGCTGCTAACTGTTATATCTAATATAAAATTATAAAGAATTAAAATATAGCCAATACTATATAAATATTTTAATTAACACAAATATTTTATATAAATAGGTATTTTTAACAGAATAAATATGCCACTTTTTATGTTATAATATATATAGTATCTAAATTTTATTATAAATTGCTTCGGATTCAAATTATAGTTATTATTATTATAACTTAATATATATCTATAATTTAATGTTGTAATTACCGGCAATTGCACAAAAAATTTTTATAGCTATTAAAAATTAAAGCACATTTTATTAAAATTTAATTGTTTAAATACTATTTACACTTTACAAAATTGAAAATTTCATAATATTAAAGAAGTAGTTAGGTTTTAAAAATTATATTTTCTAATATATTAATTTTTTGTTTTTATTAATTGCACAAAATTTTTTCTATAGCTATCAAAGATTAAAGTATATTTTATTAAAATATTGCTTTTTAAAAACTATTTACACTTTACAAAATTAAAAAATTCGTTATATTGGCAAAGTAATTCGATTTTAAAAATAATAGTTCAATATATAAATTTGTCATTTTTAAAGTCTAACTACTTTATAAATATTGCAAATTTGTTAGTTCTATGAAGCGTAATTAATACTTAAGGAACAAAATTTCAATAAAATGTGCTTTAATTTTCTAATTGCTAATAAAAAAAAATTTATTCTTTAGGTATTATTACTTTTTTTTATAAAATTTATTAAAAACATATTTTGTGTAATCTAAAAATTTGGATATATGTAAATCATTATATAACTTAATCAGAATTTGATTTTATTAGTTGAGGTGCAACCCTAGTACCACACCGTACAATGAACCTATATGTACCACACACCCGAACCATTATGAACATTACCGATACCACCCATATCACCACCCGGATCACTTTTTTTATAGGGCCAAAGTCTTCGTGAATTGATTTTTGCTGAGAGTTTTGATTCTCTCCAGGGGTTTCGCCCTTCGCCAGGGGTTTCCGCTGTTTCGTCAGAGATTTGCCTTTCGCCGGAGTTTTATAATTATTCAACAGATCAGGCCTCTAATAATAGGGATTTCAGAATTATTATGAAATAAGCAGAAGCTTAAAAATTCTTCTATTTTATTAACTTTTTTAGTTTTCATGACATTATTGCTATTATAAAATATTTTAGCAAACTCTTGATAAGTAATAACAATAAATTGTTTTAAGTGCCAGCAAGTTGTGCAACCATCTAAAGTTAGTATCTGACATTTAACATTTTATTACTGCATTATGTGGCATATTTTTATGTACGTACGTACGTACATACATATGTGTGTGCGTATACAAGTTTTAAATTAGTTTATCAAGTAATATCCATAATCTGGGGGGTATATAGTAAATTAGTACGGTACGGAAACGCAAATTAGGAGGGATATATGGAAATCATGATAGTACGTACGGTTTGTAAAAGAAAAAATTCTTTCGAAACAAAGCTAATTTTCCTATAACCTCACACAAAAAAACAACAGTGCTCGCACTTGCCCTAACCCTAAATATTAAAAAAGGGTTCACTTGTAAAGAATTAGGTCTTATCATTATTTGGCATGAGGATGTGACGAATCATCGGTGTGGCGAGTAAGCATTAACTAAATAATTATATAAATAATGCTTATTAATCACACCCAATGTTTCATCACATCCTTGTGCCAAATGGATAATGAACTTATAAAATTTAATTTTACAAACCTATGTTAACCGTACGTACGTACTATCAAAATTTTTATCAATTTTCGTACGTCTGTACATATTTACTTTACTATCTATAATGGGGTGCTTGTGAATTTTTAGTGCGTACAAATGAACATACTGTACGTACGTACGTACTGTACGTCTATTCTGAATTATCAATAATACTGATATAATCAAAAATTAATAAATCGAAAAGCTGGCCAAATTTGTAACTAGTCGATTTAAAGTCTTGAAGAAATTCAAAATTAAATAAATATAAACAAATCATGTGATTATACAATTATGTAACTATAGTATGTACGTACTAGGGCTAGCGAAAGCATAATCTGCGCATTAAATCCGATTTTATCACAGAAGAATATGCGATTAGAGATGGGCAAAATAATTTTGTAAGTAATAATGACCTATGAATTATCCTTTACCTAATATTAAGTAATATTAAATTAGGGTAGCTGCGCAATGTGTGACGCCGCGCAGGACCAGTACGATCATGCACACACGACATATACAACATATTCAATATATGAAATATATTAAATATGTTAAATATGTTCGATTTTTCTTACTATAGTAAG